TGTCTTTGACTTGTGCCAAGTTCAACCTTTGTTCAACGTTAACGTTCAACCTTTTCAACCTCTCTCCTGTTGAATTTCTCATCGGATAGCTTTCTCAGCCAGAGCGCTACAAGACCTTCTCTTTCTCATCGCTGCCGTTCCAAAAAATGTTGAACTTCGAACTCGAACAAAATGGTACGTTGGGTAAGTACACACTGGCAACTCATAAACTTTTCAACACGGTCAAGTGTGCGTAGCCGTCCTTATCATGGCTTGCGCGGCTTCAGATCTTGGCATAATCTCGCACTTGTGAGGAAGAGGGTAACTGTCCCCGACCGTTATAAATCACCGCAGCAAATTAAAAAGGAAACCAGCGGCACACATTAAAAGCCCAGATGTGTAGTCCCCCGACGGCTCTATGGGTTTCCCTTGGTCATCCACGCTCTTGCTGATGTTGAGGGTCGCCAGAATGGAGGCGACGCAGATCCACACGGACCACTGCGCCATATCTTTGCCCTGCAACTCAAGTATTAGTTGTGCATGGTATAGATAAAGCAAAAATTCAAATGTCTGACCGGACAAATGCGCCGCCCAAAGCCAAATGCAGCATCTGGCTCCCGCATGACGGTGTTGATTTTCCCGTCCTTGGTAAGCCATCGTTCAGGGATGAAGCTGGCGGTATCGGGCCCGTACGTCGCCTCGTCGTGCAGGATGGCCCTGGTGATTTCAGACGTAAATAGGAGGTGTAAATGCATAGTTTCCCGACTTACCAACTGTTCCCAACAACCACAGAGCCAGCGGGGATGTGGTAGCCGTTGTATATATCATCGTTCGTCACTGCGTGCGGAATACCTGCAGATAGAGGATGAGTGTTGAAGTGGATCAAGCTAATGCGTAGTTACTGAGCGGGAGGACTGGCCACCATCTGAGGACCTCTCTCACAACGGCGTCGACGTATGGAATATTATCTTCAACGTCCGGAAGTCGGCCATGGTCTACAACTTCGTCGACTGCCGCCTGCGCCTTCTTCTGGATCTCCGGATACAGGGTCATGGCGAGGATGAAAGTTCCTAGTGCGGAGACAGTCCGGATGGGATTTAAGTGGAGTATCTTTCTCTCATTCGGAGTACAACGTACGGTGTCTGCGCCAGCTGCCCAAGGTGATCAACATCCCCGGGAACGCGTTCTAGCGGAACGGATATCACTCAGCAGCTGATATATGACCGAAGGATGAGCGTGAACTCACACGCAGAGAAAGACCAGCAGCACGCACCATAACACGCGCCCAGGATGTTTTTCAACACTTCTTCCCGATTTTCTGCGTCCGGCGTCTCCTCGATCTCCCCCAAAACCTGCGCAGCGATGGACGATTTTGCTGTGCCCGCAGCCTGCCCGCGTCGTCGCATAAGCTACTACGAGCACAATAAACTCATGTAAGTCTCACCAGCGATCTCTTGACGAGATTATACGGCAGCTCCGGCATCGTCGACACGGATTATACCACTCCCGCGCGGCTTTCTTGAAGCCTGCGCCAGGGAAGAAGTCCGGGACGTACTCAAGGCTGAGCATGAGTGAGTTTACGAAACGAGGTTGACTTCGGGGAGTTAGTTAGTCAACTGACAATGGGAGGGAGTCGACCAGGAACGCGCCCCGGTTCCCGGTGCACGCCAATGGCGTGCAGCGCCTTTTCGAAGATATCGATGTGCGGGTCGTCCTCGGCTGGACGTCGATGCCGTACGCCGTAGAGAGGATGACCATGCCCGCCATGCTGCGAGGTACGTCGTCAAACGCGTTCTAGCACGGTGTACCCAGAGATAGTAGCCTCACTGCCGAAGGTGTCGTTCGAACTTTCCCGGTGAGTCCACGAGCCGCTGGAGCAGTACGCGCGCGGCTTCTAGCTCGGATGGACGGTGGAGAAGGACCTCGGATGGCTGGAATTGCTGCATGAAGACTTTCCGGTGGTCTGCAATTAAGCAAGGTTCCCAGATAAGGTAAATGTGAAGCCAGTCGAACGAGAGCACTTGCCTTTCCACCTTCGGTCCGTATCGCATGAACGCCAGATGCCAATGGAAGCCGACCCTGGAGGAGAATTATATGAGCAAAGAGAATGAGATGGAGAGAAAGCTGACAGATCGTTGAGCATCGGGAACGTTGGCCTGGGATAATGTCAGCGAAGACTGCAAACCGCGGCGAATGGTTGATACCGATCAGAGTAGATCGCAGATTTATTTTCCAGGAGAGCGTCGGTCGACGCCACCGAGTTGAGCACGATGACGGTGTCACCCATAAGATCCAGAGAAATGATATCTGAATCTGGAACGGAATTCAACCATGTACAGGAATCTCGTTGGATGGGATCGCAACTCACCATATTTTTTAGACATCTCGATGAACGCGAGCCATTCTTGCGCCTTGGGAATATCGAATAGATTGCCTACAAGAGGGAGCTCCCTAGGACCGGGGGGAAGTAAAGGCTTTCGGGCCCTGTATGAGCGAAATATGACAAGTAAAACACCGGCGATAAGTGCGAGGCCGGCGGTCTGCAAAGGGGAGGAACTCATGCTTGCTGGTGCTGGTTTGCACGGATCCGAGCTTTTAAGCCCACAGCTGGTTCCGAGGAATGTTCGAAAACTCGAGTGCGGTATAAGCCGCTCAACCAACCAAGGAATACGCTTAGCGAGCACGTCCAGCCAATCACTGTGACTGAGCCTGGGGAAGTCGTAATAAATCCCTCTGTCGCCGGTGACATTGAGGCTCCTAAGCGTCAAACCAGAAAGGTGGTGTAGCCACCTAAACAGAGCAAGATCCGATGTGCTAACTGGATTCCGGAATGGTCCAGAAGGTAGGCTGACACTATGCACGCGCCATTCAGTCACATATTGTCAGGCTCACTCGATTGGCAGGGGACAGCGGAAAGGGAAATCTAGTTTAGGCGGTGTGAGTGACGGTACTACGTTAATGACTAGCCAACCTCCCGGTCGGAGAACTACGGACAAGCCAAAGGCAACCACGCGATCCGCATGTTCTCGGCATCAACCTCGACCCTATCCACAAACTCCACGCGTGGCGAGCTTGCGTTCTCCGGCTTTCCCACCGATGCACTCAGGGCCAAAAGTATATCCCGCATCTCCTCGTCTCTAGCCTGCGCGACCTTGTTGGCGGGAGCCTGACCCACAGTCAGCTGCGCTTCCAAGAAGACGCTTTCCACAAGCGGTAAGACCTCGCTATCCGCCCCCAGCACGGCTGCGCAACTCCCGCGCAAAGGCCGGCGCGCCACGCAGACTCGACACGCGGAGATGGGTGAGCCCTGGGCATGCGCGCACGAGGGCTGTTGGAAGACCCGCAGGGCTGTGGTTTCCCGCGACGTGCAAATGGGTGAGAGCGGGAAACGCGCCGGGTCGCGGGAGTGGGTAGAACCCGCGGACAGAGAGCGCCTTTAGGTGCGGGAGAGGCGTGCGAAATACGGCAGCGAGGAGCGCGCTGGGCGCCGCGATGGCGAGATCTTCTAGAGTCGGCGCAGCAAAATGGATGAGACGTAGGACCGTCGGCGCGGAAAGGGCGGGGCCAACAAAGAGGCGACGTATGCGGCGTTGGTGCGTGGGGACAGCCTCAAGAAGTGCAAGCAGATGCGTCACTTGCTCTTGGGCAGAGATGGAGATTGTGTGGAATAAAAATGGCGCTGCAACGGCATGGAAATAGGTGCTGGTGAGCGAGAGTGCTCGAGGAGTGCTGTAACCGGAAGACGACGCGCATGCGTGGGCGAGAATCAGGGCGTGAAGTTCTGACGGTAGAGGCTCCATGGTAGTGACAGAGCAGAAAAGTTGTAAGCGCTGGTGAAGGCGTGTCGATTGCGACATATAACGCGACATAAACGCGATCACGTGCAGATCTTCACGGCAAAATCATAAGACTCGAAGCAAGAATCGAGGGCTATACTTTGTGAGGGTCGAGTCCAACGTAGAATGTCTGTCAGCTATAATAGGGAGGGTATAACAGTGGGAAAACTTGCCAAGGAATAGTAGAGGCGAGGTGGATTTGAATATGTGGTCTTTGTGGCACCTCAAGGTCGTGCAGATGGGAGTTCATGTAGGGAGGCGCCCACGCTGATGATAGCGGAAGATGCGGACTAATATATCCATATGCATCTGTAGCCAGAGAATGCCCGGCACTGGCAACGAGCCGAGTTCTGATAAACAGACCTAGCTTAACATACGGGGGACTAGAAACTAGGGACGAACTCACATGCATAGGCAGGAGTAGCACGGAGAGTCATCAATGAATCGCCGGAATCAGATTTCAATGATTGGCAGTGCGTTGCAGGCTGGCAGCCCAGAAGTGGCCCAACCCAGGAGAAATCCTCGTTGAATTACCCTTCCTAGGCCATAGATTCCAAGCCAAGGAAGAAGGCATATTCATTAAAAGGCGTTTATTCAAGGGTGAGTCGGCTCGGACTCCCGGGCGCAGACGTGGTGGTGGAAAGAGAGAGAGGGAGGTGCGTGATGCCACACGTCCGCACATAATGCCCCACAACACAGCCATATTTCCCCCGTTCCGTTCCGCTCCGCCCAATTTCGGCCACCAGCCTGAGATTTTTGGGGGACGTTCCTGAAACAAAGCGTGAATCTAAACTAGCTGAGTTGGCCTGATTTCGTGAGTCGTGGTAGTACTAATTATTTAAGGGGGCGTCTCATCTTTGTTCTAGCCTTGTCTCGTATTTTTGATCTCCCGTACTTACAGACAGGCTTCGAGGAAGGAGATTTAATTTCACCATTCGTCCGGAAGCTCCATCTGCCCCTGTCCGCCCAACACAATAATGCTGAGCAATATCTTTGCGGTTCTTTTCAAATCCACCTGAGAATTCCAACCCAAGCACAATACGAATAGAAAATTCACATTGGACTTTAATTCCGTCGGTATCTGCACATCATTCGCACCGTGAATCCGGATTGACTTCCCCACACAGGAGTATGTGGGTAGCTGGGCAGCGTTAAATAAACTCATGGAAATCGCAAAAAAAAAGTCGCGGAAACGGGGAATTGAACCCCGATCTGCCCTCCCTCGGTTTGCCCACGAGCGATCACGAGGGCCGCGCTATCCTTTGCACCATATCCGGATATGGTTGCTCTGAACGCAAGCGTGGCGTTACATTTGCAGAATAGGAGGCAGAGTGGAGTTTGTGCTCCCAGGAGAAAAAATAGGCGGCTGGCGTTATCGCGCTGAAAGCGCTCTATATACATTTAGAATATACACCCCTATTATAATTATGGTCTACACAGTACTTCCCGCATTTGCTCGCAGTCCATCAAAGATTCGGTTTCTGAGTAGATGTGCGTCAGCAAGGAAAATAATCTCGACGCCCAAACAACACTAACCGACATGTCACCGAGCTCCATCGGTGACTCGAATTCCATCTCCCGTACAACGTGGATCTTGACGGGCCCGCTGCTCGTATTTTTATTGCGGAAGTGTGTGGAGGACTCGGGGAGATGGATTGACTGCATGCCGTCGCCCTCGGCGCGATGCTTGATCTTCTGCATGCGGTTATTGAGCACAGCGATGAGGCAGTTGGTGTATCTGAAGGCGATCAGTCTTTGAAAGGGAACCGTATGGCGCTGGGCCTACAGTTTGCCGATGATCGCTGTTCTACAGAATAAAGTTCAACAAAGACGCGGGGAGCGATAAGACTACGACGCACGGGGGTACAACTAGGGTCGCATGTTGCTATCAAATGATATATGAGCCAAGATTTAAGAATAGAAGGCTCGACACGCTTACAGGTACACCCCAGAATAATATCAGTGCAACCACGGCTACGCCGGCTGCGAAAATGTTAGCCGGTTATCGGGGAGATCAACACGGACGAGGGCGAATTGTGAAGTCAAGCTTCAGCTCCGCGACTCACCTGTGAGGGCGTTGGTCTCCACTGTGACCCGAATGACGCGGGTAATGAGACTGTGGGTTGCAGGGAGAGAACAGCTTCTCTCGCGAAGAAGCTGCAAAAAATTCGGGAGGATCGGGATCAGTATGGGGTTCCACATGAATGTCGTATATGGGGATAGCACGCACCGCCCACGAGAGAACCACCGCAATCGCAACATCGGCCACCGCGCCACCAACAAGCCAGATCTACCCGGCATCAGTGATGGACAAAAACAAGCGGAGGGACGGAAAGAGACGGACCGTTTGCGCCACAACCTCTGTGCTGATGAGCGAAAGCCGCCCCAGTTCGTGTGCCTGCGATGCTCGTGAGATGAGGACGAAGAGCAGAGTGCGAGCTGGCGCACCTTCACAGCGGTCGCGATTCCTGCACCACATTGCGCCAGTGAAACCTGCGCGGGATTAACGAGGCGCAGAAAGTTCAACGGGGAAGTACGCACCAGAAGAATGAGCCCTGGGATAACGAATCCCTTGCGGAGGAAATAAATCCTCCAACAATAAAATGCCTGGACAACGAGGGATATCACAGAGTCGAGCAGAGGGACGTCCCACGAGTTGAGGAACGTTTGATCGAGCGTCTCCATGTTGCCGAAGCCATACACAAACCAATGGAATGCATCTGCGGTGACCATTACGGTCTGGATAATATCCAAAATTGCGACGCCGTACACTGCATGCCCAGGAAAATTAGCAAGCCTCTAGACGGCTTGGGGTGTGAGAGCGCACCGAGAGATTTGAGTGCAGGCCGATCATCCCCAAAGTTTTCATGATAGAAGTAGAGTTGCGCCGTCAACACACCCATGAACCCCCAGTTGAGGCATATGCCCACCATCTACGCGCTTTCAGTCAACGTTGAACGCGTAGAAGGAAAAAAGGCCGAACCGTCGGGCCCGTGCTGTAAACATAATACAAGTTCGTTAGATGTGTTCAGTTCCAAATGCCGGATACGCACATCATTGAGATGTCCTGGGGGATACCAGCAACAGACATAGTGGGCGAGAAACGGTTAACAGCTTTCTGGCTCATGATTATACTTATAGTCCCTCTTTCAATCATCTCCAAATCCAATCAGGCCCTGTCAGATCGATCGCGTTGAAACGGATCCGGGAAATACCGTTGCGTCTCGTTCTCCATCGTTACTACAGCGGGATTCTGCTATTGCCGCGCGATATGTGAAGGGAATTCCAGAATCGACGTGAGGTGGGCAGTATAGTGAAACCCTCGCAATTTATTAACGGCCTAAATTAAACCGGATTTGGCAGTAAATTTCAAACTCGCGTGTGGCCCACTGCATGGGGAAGCGTGGGAGCATGGTGGGACTTTCCTTGCTCTTCTTCGGTAAGTACCGGAAAAACAAAACATACGCGTGTGCCTAGGCCCTTATCAGCGTCTTGCGCCTAATCATCAGTATTTTGGCAATCAGCTTCTAGGTTTCGCGCCACCAAGGGCAGGCGAGGCCTTTCTGTTTGTTCACCGTTCGTCCATAACCATCGCGATGAGCATCCAACTGATACCGCTGCCGCTCCCAGCGAGCGCTGACGGGTCGAAATTCGCCAACTTCGGACGTGAAGTCGTTGGCGTCGATCCCGGGAACCTCACGAGCGAACAGTTCCAAGAAATCCGCGATGCCTTGTACAAGGTGTGCTTGACTTTATCGGTGGTCTGCATCAGGTTCAATGTGAACTCATCACTTGCACCCCACCAGCACGACGCCTTAGTGTTCCGGGATGCGGCGCTGAGTCCCGAGCAACAATATGCCTTGACGAAGGTGAGCTGCGTCGGGATGTCGTACTGCTTTTCTGGACTCACGATAGTTGTAAGGCATTCGATCCTGCCTCAGAGAGCTACGGGCATGGAAACAACAAAACCGAGGGGACGATGAAATCGATCCTCCATCCAGATTTGAAGACCATCCCCCGTGTACCGCAGGTCCAGCTGATCGGGAACGGCACCGTGTACGACCACGAGGGGCTGGCGGAAGCGAAGCTGAAGCACCCCACGCACAGGACGTTCCATAAGACAGTCATCAATGCCGAGGACGAGGCCAAGGGGTTCACGCGGTTCTACCGTTGGCACATCGACGCCGCGCTGTATGACCTCTCGCCGCCCCACGTCACCACGCTTTATGGGCTCCAGATCCCGCAGGGGCCGGCGCAGGTCTGCCGGTACGACGACGGCACGGGCGACGAGCTGCCCGTTCCGCTGGGCACGACGGCCTTCGTGTCGGGCAAGACGATGTTCGATATCCTTCCCGCGAGCCTGAAGAGTGTCGCGGTGCGTGCAAAGGTCAAATATGCGCCGCACCCGTACGTCTGGATGGCTCCTGCGCACGCCAAATCGACCGGGTTGGGGATCGAATCGGAGGGGCTGGAGATGGACTTAAGCGAGCTTCCACCGTGGGAGGAGTCGAAGCAGAAGGTGTTCCCGGTTGTGAGTCCGCTGTATTTCGATTCTGGGATTGCGCTGAGCGATGTGCCGATAGCTTTGGAAGACGGCCGCGGGCGAACTCTCGTTCCAAGTTCATCCATGCGGTGTCGCAGAACTGCTGGTTAGCCCGCTCCCTGAGGGTGCTGCGCGCAAAGGCGCACTGTATCCCGACGGCGCTCACTTGACGAGCTTGCAGGAAGCGCGGGACTTGCTATACATGATGCAACGACCTGGTATTTCCCCACAAGTGCGTGTTTCGGTACATCCCGCTCAACTTAGACTCACCCGATTTGCAGCTGGTCTATCCGCACGATTGGTACTGTGCATGTCCCCTAGTGGCGTCCTGTGATTAACGATCCGTTTTCAGGCGCGAGAAGGACCTTGTGCTGTTCCATAACCGGGGCGTCCTTCACAGCGTCGTTGGCGCCTTCGCCCCAGATCAAGTGCGCGCGTTCCACCAATGCAACCTCGCTGCCTCGGACGACCCCGTTGGCCCTAATACGGAGGATATACGGCAGTGGGCGTAGAATAAGTAGAATCCGAAACAGGCCGCCAAATCGTGAACCAGGGGTTGGATTTTTATACCGTAGCGGCGCCACGGAAACGTAAATCTAGCGCTTCGATCTGGATGGATCTTGGAACCAGCGTTCGTATGTTGGGGAAGGTATCCATTAATATTGTCTTGCCATTGTCCAAAAGGGAATCCGAGGATGGCCGTGTTTGGACCGTAGCGTGCACTGCCACTGCTTCTCTTGCTTCCCTCCGTTACCCTTTGGCGGTATGTGAGCTGGTCCGGGCGCCAATACCACGACCGGACTGCGAACTTGGCCGGTGGCGCTTTCTGGGCCTTCAATGTCGAACTGTATTGTGCTGTTCGCTGTCGTAAGAGGTCGTCAGATTGGTTCAATCATCTTGATCCATTCTTGGTGCTCCTCCCCCGGCTGTTTTGGAGAAAGGGAAGCTTGCTATTTTCGCTGCTTTACGATCAAGCGGTGCCGGCAGAACTCTTATAGTGGACTTGAGCAGGAGCAACACGACGATCCCGCTGCAATTCCTTGTCCCCCATACATGTCGCCCTCAGAATCATCAGTGAGTTCGTTCGTCTCAAGTTCCTTCAGTATGGCTAAGATGTTCAGCCTCCTCCATCCCAATTACCGCTTGGGAATTCCATCCCGAATTACGTTGAGCTCGCCGCGCTCGTAATTCCCCAAAGACAACTTGGAATCAAGGACAAGCTCCGCTGCGCATGCAGTTTCCTTCCCATGCCACTTTCCCTGGGATGGGATACAGATCCTAGTGGCGGAGAGGCGCCCCCTGACTCATGTTCGAAGCCCATGTATTGACCAGGCACAGTTATCTCGGCCTGTCCAAAAGCCAACAACGGCGGCGAGAGCTTAGATGCAATGTGGAGATGGCTCAGAATAGCCCCACAACCTAACGATCTGCTGTCCTGTTGGGTAGACGCACTGCCCTGTTTTATTTTCTTAAACGAAGCGGCCGCCACAATTCAGCAGGCATGTCGACCTCCTATATCAATTAATGCAATTTGGAATTACACATGTACTACATCCGAGGCGAACTCTCGAGCGCTAAAGTTCTCGGTACCGGAATCACTGAGAACACCGGAGAAAGCAGGTCAAGTTCAGAAGGCTCCCGGGGGCTTCAATCACATATTCAACCACATATCTAACTAAACATTCATCCAATTAATCTTCGTTCAGTCAACATCAAGTCTTCTACCTCGCCATT